AAAAAAAAAAAAAAAAAAAAAAACAAAAAATAGTCCTGAAAACCTGAATTGTCTGTGAGAATGGCAAAAGAATCGTTCAGAATGGCTTCTATTCTTTCTTTCAAAAATTGTTGATTTTTTTTTTTTTTCTTGCCAATCGCACAATGTCGGTGACTGGTTGTATATTCAGAAGCCCAGAAACGGCTAGTTGTGCAGAATTTGATTAATCAACCAGACGGGCAACAACTCTTTTCTTTGAACTGTTTCTGAACAACAGAAAAAAAAAATTGGGAAAAGAAAACAGATAAAAATGGTTTGAAGTTTAATAAATTTATAATCACAAATTTTGCTGTTTTACAAGAGAGTAGTAACAGCACCGGTAACAGTTACTGATAAGTGATTATACTTTCAGTTTTTCAATCCTTTTTAAGTTTAACATAATATTTGTAGTTCTTTGTTTAAGTAAAACAAAAAAAAAAGTACAGTAAAATCTAAGTACAACATTTTTTTCACCATCCTTTTTTGTTTCAATTACCGTTTTAGCTGACAGACTGTTTGATTCACCAAACAAATAAGTTCTGCTCTAAAAAGCACAATTTTTCAAAACAAAAAAACCGTTTCAACCTTTCGACATTTTTTTTTTTTTGCAAAAAAAAATTTTTGTTCTTATTATTTATTAAACGAAAAAAAAAAAGCTTTTTTCTTTAATGTGTGAGATTTTCAAAAGATGAAAAAAAAAGAGCACTGCTATTTTTGTTTTCACAATTTTTGCTTCTTATTATTTGTTCGTAAACAGTTTTGCTTTGTAAAAGACTGTATCGCAAAATTTTCATCGTCCTAAAGAATCAAATATTTCTTTAGTTTTTTTTTTTTCTTCTTCTACTTACCGACAGTTGGATACTGTAAATGGAAGGAAGAACTGTGACAGAATGACTGTCTTTTTTTTTGGAAGGAAAAAAAAAAGCGAACACAGTTATCATCCAAAATTATTCCTCATCTGTTTATTGCAATTCTTATCACTTTTATTATTATCACTGTTATTAGTTGTCAACTATTAAGCAGCATAATTTTTGCTGCATTTTTATTTTCTTGTCGAACCAATAGATTAATGCAAAAACAGAATGAAAGCAAAACAAAAAAAGTTTGCTTTATTTTTATAACAGATTACAAAATATAAACAAATGATTTTCCATCATCTTCTGCCTGATCAATGAATGCACCGATACCTACAGATGTTGTCTTCG